TATATATANATATATATATATATATATATATATTTATATATTTTAATTTCATTAGACAATAAATTCTAAAATTTTAAATATTTTTTTATCTTAAAATTACTAAAAATACTTAATTTTATTTGAATAATCATTTTGTCATTAATGCTAGTAAATTATAATTTAGTTAAAAAGAAAAGAAAATTATTTTAATTAAAATTTTATTTCTTTACTTAGAATAAATACTGATAAAAACGATATAATATTTGATGATTTTTAGCTTATATAAAATTCTTTAAAAGAGCCAATGCTTTATTATTTTAATTTATAAAAATAAAAAAACCTTCAAGGATATTAGAAATTTAAAATATACAATAGATTATAATATAAATATAAAAATATGATCAAAATTGATAAAAATTTGTTTTAAAACTTTAATTTTAAAAAGTATATTTATATTTATATTATATATTAAAAAAATAATATTAAAAACTAATTTTTAATTATGTAAAATTAATATTTCTCATTACCAACTTTAATAGCACCCAATTAATGAAGACAATATACCAAAAAATTATATATAACCATTTGTTATTTTTTCAGGACTTATATACCCTAATACTACCTTTTTTATTAATTTCTATTTAATTTTTTTTATTATATTTTACTGGAATATCAAATATACTTCTTGTTGTATCAATTAAGTTTTATTTAATTTTTTCTTGAATATTTATTTGTATTTCTTATTCAATCTATTTTTTAAAAAAGCAAAATTAATATATATTCATAAACATTTTCTATTTGTAAATTTTACATAATAGTAATTGATTTTTAAATACATATATTCTAAAGCATTCATTATAAAACCAATAATAATTTATGTTAGCCAGCAATAATTGGAATATTTACTTGCAAAGTTTATTATTTTTTATTATGAAAAATTTATATCTATTATATAATTTTTAAATTATTTTATCATATTATTTATATTTTTATATGAATATATTTTATATAATAATCTAATAATATACCTTATATAAATATAGAATGTGGTCCATTATATACCCAAAAAATGAAAATATATTTTAGATTATTTATAAATTAGCCATGTTTTTTTAAAATTTATATTCGTTATATTAATTATACTATTACATATTTTAAAGCTCTTAAAGTAATTTAAATGTGTTTTAGGTAATTTCGATTATTTTTCCAAATCTAAAAATCTTTAATTTTAAAATATGTTAAATTATTAATTATTTCTTTAAATATTTTTTTAAATACTTTTCTTGTTATAGACATTTATGATGAAAGTTTATCTAATTTTTATTTAATTTAAATTATTCCAGTTTTATTTTTATTATTTAAAAGTTAATGATTTTTAATTAACTGTGAAATATAACCTAATCCATATTATGTTAATCTACAGGCCTAATTATTAAAATTATTTTAAAATTAAAAAAAATTAATTTAAACTTTGTCTCTGCTTGATGTTTTGTTAAGAAATAAAATTAATTATTTTAAAACTTTTTATGGATTTTAGGTCATTTATATATTAAATTTTTTAATATAAATGTTTTCAATATTATATAATATTATATTAAAAATAATTAATATTATTATAATTTTTTTATATTGTTTTTTTGATTTTTAACTTGAATTTTATATTAATTTAATGAATGATTTTTATAGTTGAATTCTTAATTAATAATAAGAAATATAAAAAATATATTATTAAAATAGAAAAAAAAAATATAATTAGTTTTAATTATAATCTTCTTTAGATTGAAAATAATAATTAAATATCATAAATAAAATATATTTTTATATTAAGATATAAAAAAACAATATAATTAAAAAAATTAATTCTTTAATACTTTTAATTTATTTATAAAAGAAAAAAAAAATTATAATATTTTTATTATAAATATTAAATAAAATATTTTATATTTGTAAATATGATTTTTTGTTATAAATATTATTTAAAAAAAAGTATTGTAATTTGAATATTTATAATATAATAATAATATAAATATATAAAATAAAAATAAATATTAATTATATATGTAAATCAATTTTAAAAAAATAAATAACTTAATAAAAATTATTATTATTAGAAATTCTTATTAAAAGAAAAAAATTTAATATTAAAAAAAATAAACATTAATATATACAAATATAAAATATGTTCTAAATAAATTACAATGCAAAAAGGTCTAATATATAAATTCATATAAATATATATATAAATAAATATATATATATATATATTATTATATTTATATATTTACATTTTTAAATATTTTATTTATAATTTTTTAAATAAGTTAAGATTTTAAAAACAATAAGTCTCGTGAAACAGTAAATTAAAAATTTGTTATTAATTTAAATTAAAATATAAAATAGGTTTAAAGAAGTGTTTTATTAAATAGCTAAGTTATCGGAAGTAAAATAGCAAAGTTGTAAGATACAGGAAACTTTTATGCAAAAAAAATATTATAAGAAACTTAAAGATTAGTATTTAAAAATAAATAATTAAAGAATAAAATATAAATAATAAGTTTTATAGGAGCTAATTGAAAAAGAAATAGAAGAAACAGACAAAATAATATAAGAAAAACGCAGAATAATGATAATTAAAAAAAAAAATTAAAATAATAGTGACCCTTATGTTTTATAAAAAAGAATTAAATCAATGGTTATGAAATTAGATTATTTAAAGAAAAAGTATAACGAATCTTTAGCTACAAATAATAATATAAAAGAGCATATAAATAATTTAAGAAGAGAAAAAAATATATTTAATAATATTCATTCGGAATTAAAGATAGAATTAAATTTTAAAAAAGAGTAGTTAAAATAAGTTCTTTTAGAATCAAATATTGCTAAATAGGAAATCGAGAAAGGTAAAGAAAAACTTGAAAAATGCAAATAGGAATCTGAATTTGAAAAGAAAAATTATCAAAAAGAATTTTAAAATGTCTATTAACTTTAAGATATAAAATCTAAAGATAAGCTTTTTTTTGAAAAGACGATTATTAATAATAATAATTGGGATGAAATTTAATAACCAAATTCAACAGTAAAACTAAATAATTTTTTTTTAAAAATAATTATTTTAAACAAAAAAATTATATTTTTAGCTAAATAGTCAAACAGAAATTAATAATAAATCTCGAAAAACAAGTCCTGAAATTAAAAAGAAAGAAAAAATAAAACTATTTAAAAAGATAATTTACAATAATTAAAACAAGAGGTTTCATAATATGAGGATATTTTCAATAAATTAATGGAAGAAACAGGAACATAGGATATGAATGAAATTGTGAAAATATTCGTAGACTATGAGAGTGAGAATTATTCTTTATTTAAATATATTAATAAGTTAAGAGAAGAATTTGACTAATTAAGCAATTAAAAAAAACAACTAATAGAATAAATTGAAACTTATAAAAAATAACCTGAATAATGTAGAGAAGAACCAAAAACTAAAAAATTCATTTAATTAAAAACTGAAATGGAAAATATTTAACAAAAAAATAAAAATATTTATAATAATAATAAGATTTAAAATCTTAAATTAATGTAATAAAAGATGCGATTCCTTAAATGTTTTAATAAATAGATTGTGGTTAAAAAAAATATACTAAAGAAATTCCTAAAACAAGTGTAAGATTTTAAAATTTATATATTATTTATAATTGGTTTAATTAATAAATAATAAATTGTATATTTAGGAAGGAAATCTATAAGAAATTGAAGATAGTAATATGCTAAATTATTTAGCATCTATTGAAAGTAGAACTAATGACTTACTTTAATTATATAATGAAGTATATTAGTAAAGAAATCCAGATGATGCTAATTAAAAATTAATAGAAGAAAAAAAAATATCAAGTGCTAAAATAAAAAGCATTAAAGAAAATAATGAATTAGAATCAGCATGTAAATATAAAAATTTTAAATAAATTAATTTATTATTATAATTTTAAATAATAAAAAAAAAAGTAAAACCATTAAATGAAGAATTTAAAAATATAAATGACAAGTTAAAAGATGATAAAAGAATAAAAGAGCACTTTACTTTTAATGAATTTCATAAAGATAAAAAATTTATGGATGTAAAAGAATTTCAGGCTAATGCAAGAGAAATTAAAGTATAAATATTAATATTTAATATATATAATATAAAAAAAAATAGGATTAAATAAAAAATGCAATTAAAATAAAATAATAAAAAAAACAATATACTCAATAATAATAATAATAATAAAATTGATATATAAATATATATATTAATAAATTTATATATAATATATAATATATATTTTTATATAATATATTTATATTTTTTATTATTTATATTATGATACAAATATGTTTTTTTTTATATTTTAAATATTAATTTTTAAAAATATTCGCATTTTTGTTTATTTTATTTTATTTTATTTTATTTTATTTTATTTTAATTTATTTTTTAAAATGTTTTTATATTCTTTATTATATCTAATAATCTATTTAATATAACTATTTTTAATAATATTAAAATATAAATTATCAATATCATAATTTATTTACCATTTTATCTCGTATTTAAATTTTAGTTAATCATATCATTAAAAATTAAATTACATTAATATTTAAATTACTTTTAGAAATTCTAAACAAATTTTTTATAACTTTTAATTTAATTATTACAGAATACAATTTATTTTTTAATGCAAATTTTCTTAAAAAGTTCTATAATAAATATTTTAGCTTTAAAATTATAACAATAAATTAAAATATAATAATTTTAAAATATAAAATGATATAAATATTCATTATATTTTATTTTAACTTGTCTATTATAAGATTCATAGTTTGTTTTAAAATATTTTAAATTAAATATGTAATTAATTAATATATATTAAATATATATATATGAATTTGTAGTTTTTCTTTAATTTATTTTTAAATCAAGAGAATTAATATAAGATAATAATATAATATTTAAAATAATATCTCGAATTTTATTAAAAATAGAATAAAATACGTTCATTAATGATTTTTTATATATAAACATTTAGTTTAAAATAATGTATTATAATTTTTTTTAAAGTTTTCTATTTTTTAGATTTTCTTCTTTTTTAATTCTTATATTTATTACAAAATTGATAATAATAGAAACAAAATTCAAAAATTCAAAAAATTATTAAAAATGAAAACATTAAGAAATTAAAAAAAAAATTCTTATATAAAACATCATGGTTTTTTTTAAAAAATTATATAAATAAAAAATGTCATTCTACTTTAAGTCTTAAAGCTAATGCTCTAATAAAAGTATAAACTCCTTTAAAAAATTTATTTGAGTTAGGTTAATTTAAATACTTTTTCAAAATTTAATTGTCATCTTCTATAGCTTATTTTAAGTTCTCATTAATTGCGTATTTAACTCTTAAATAGTTTCCATAAAAAACAATTAAAATAATATTTCCATATCCAAAAGGGAAAAGTATTCCTTCTAAAATCAATTAAAGAACTTCAATATTATTTTTAAACACAATAATATTTTATCTTTTATTTCTTATACCATTGATTGTTTTTCTCATTACTTTATATATTTTACCTTATATTTAATAAAAAAATTCTGCAATTCCAATAGAAAAATGTAGCATTAAAACAGAATAGTATAGACTTCTTTTTTTTCCATAAAACTAAAATGATAACATGTAAAAAAGATTTTAAAAATATTCACTTGCTAATAGTTTTGCAAAAAATACTTTTCCTAATTTTTCTTATCTTAATTATCTTTAAATAACAAGCAAACAAACAATCAAAGCAATTAAATCACAGTATTTTTCATTAAAAAAATGTATTATTATATATGAAATTTTAAATATATTTTCTATTGTATACACTATTATTTTTAGGCTTATTTTGTTTTAATAAATACTTCTCTACATTATATTTTTATATATTATTATATGTTATATATGCAAATATTTAATATTTATGTATAATTATTTTTATAATTAAAAATTAAACAAAATAAATAAAAAAATATTAATATATATATTAATTAAAAAAAAAGATTTAATATTTAATTTAATTTAATTGAATTTAAATTAAATTAAATTAAATATTAAATATATATAAATATATATATATATATATACAAATTATTATTTTAATATCTATAACAATTTTAATAAATATTTATATTAAATAAAGAAAATACAAAATTAATAATTTATTTTGTTTCTAATAAAATATATATTATTATTATTATTATAATTATTATTAATTAATTCTTCAAAATAATTAATATAATTTTAAATTATATTTATATATATATATATATATTTTATATTTTAATATTATTATATATTTAAATTTATTTCAATTATTTTAAAATATAATTTATTTTTAAATTTAATATTATGTATCTTTTAAATTTCTTTAATTTTATATTTTATATATTTTTTTTTAATTAAAAGATTTATATTTTTTTCTTATTTTAAAAGATAAAACTTCTAAAAAAATATAAATTTTATTTTTTTAATATATTAATAAACTATTCATAATATATAATAAATTATTTATATTATAAATAAAAAAAATTATTTAATTAAAATAAAAAAACAAATATATTAAAATATTAAATATTTATTTAAAATAAAGAAAATATTCAAATATTTTACAATAATTATATTATATAATTAAAAAATTTATATTTTAATATTATTAATTTTATTTTTTTTACAAATAATAAATATTATAAAAAATTAATTATATTAATACAATAAAATTTGTTTAAAGATAATTATTTTATTAATATTTATATATTATATTTAAAAATTTTTATTTTATTTATAATTTGAAATTATTTTTCTAAATATTAAAATTTTTTGTATTATATTGTTTAACAATTAATAAAGTTTGTATAATTTTATTTAACTTTTTATTTTTTCTAAATAGTATTATTATTATAGTGCGAATAAATATTAAATTGTATAAATGTTTTTTAATTTAATACATGTTTCAATAATATTATTATTCTAAATTTTACTTGAAAATCAAAATTTGTAAATTTATAATATTTTATTTTTTTTAAAATAAAACTAAAAATATAATAAAAAAAATTAATATTAAAGCATTTAATAATTTTAATACAAATTTTTATTTTCATTAAGTTAAAAAAAAAAATTTGCTAAATCTATTTTATATATAAAAAATATAAAGTAAATCCTTTTATTTTGATAAATTATACATAGAAAGACGAAAGTCTATCGTATAAAATGATAAGATGGCGAGACTCAAAGAAGAAGTTTTTTGGAAGACGAGTGTTACTATAGTAGGCCGGCCACTTGAGGAATATGTATGTCCTTGATCAATAACTAAACCTAGTGTCTATTAATAATACCCGGCTCATCCATTAAAGCAACGAAAATTCTGGAAGTATTCTTGCTCTACTACTACTTGAGATGAAATAAAAAAATATATTTTGTGTTTTTATTTTTTTCTTTCCCTATATTCTTATTAGAATACTTATTAACATATTTTATTTTTATTATATTATTTTCTTTTTTTTAATATGTATTATGTGTCTTATTAATCATATTACGATTAAAATTAGATGCAGTAGTCTGTTTCAATTTTACGTGATCTCATTTAAACGCATATATATTCAATAAGTTATTTATAAAAACTTATTAAAAGAAAGCATTTTGTTATAATTATCTTTATTTGCTTTTGAATTTCTTTTTCTTTGATTAGATATTACTAATTTTCATATTTTTCATTCTAATTTATTGTTTGTAAGAAAATTAATTACAAAAACCATATTAATTCAATAAATCTAAATTAATCATTAAAATTATTAATGTTATTATTTAAATTGTCTAATTTAACAGACTAATTATTTTGTATATATTTATTTTATTATACTGATTAAATAAAATAAAATACTTTTAATATCCTTCATATTAAAAAATGGGATGCTCTTATTAATTTGACAATAATTTTTTTATATAATCTCATTTTAATGTAGAAGTGAATTTTTTTTTGAGATTTCCATATTTTTTATTTTAATTTTGATTACTATAAATAAAAAAACTATATTCATTTATATTATGAAGGTAATTATATATTAAAAATATTTTATATAAATTAAAAATAATTTTATTTTTATTTTTTATTATGTAATATAAAAATATGAAAAAAATTATATTATTTTATTGTAAACAATAATAATATATAAATATTTTTCCATTAAGTAACATATAGTATAAATTGAATTTTATTTATAAAATAAAAAAATATATATATATTAATTGAACTAAAATATTAAATTCTATTTTTAAATTTTATAAATTTTTATAAATTTATAAGCTAAAATATTAAATTTATATACTTTTAACAATTTTTTGTTTTATATCTAAGCTATACAAAAAATATAATATATAAATAATTAAAAATATAAAAAATATAATATATTTTAATAAAAATGAATTAAAATGATTCTATTATTGAGGAATAAGAATTTAATTATTTAATAGGCTAAGCTACTAATGAATATCTTAATAGTGCTAATATAAATAACTTTTTATAACAATAATAAAGTAGCTAAAAAATTTATAATTAATTTGAATAAAAAAAATACTTTAATAAAATTATAACAATATTAATATATATATTTCTAATTATAACAATAATAACTTAATTAACTTAAATACACGAAATAAATAAATTATAATGTAAATCTAATATACTAGAAGAAAAATTAAAAGAAACAATAATAATATATAATAAATATAAATGAAAAATCAAAATTATTATAAATATTCAAATATAAATATTAAAATTATATGTATTTATTAATTTAGAAAAATTAAAAAAATTTATAATATAATATGTAAATTTTAAATATAAAGATAAATATATATATATATATATATATATATATATATATATATATTATTTTTTAATTTATATAAAATATATATTAAAATTTAAATAAAAATTTATATTTATATTTATATTTATACTATAAAATAATTTTATTAATATATATTATTATTTTTTATTTACAAATAAATAAATATAATGAATACAAATTATAGATAAAGCTTTTCAATTAAATTATAAATAAATGTTTTTTAATCCGAAGATCCTAAATATATAAATGATATATCTTTAATTTATTTAAACTAAACAGAATTAAATTAATTAAAAGAAAATACTAAAAAATAAAATTTAGGAAATATATTAATCATGGCAATTTGTAGGAATAAAATAAGTGAATTTTACGGATTTAAAAATAATTTAATATTTCAAAAAAATGACTAAGAGATTCTTTTAGAAACTATAATACATGAAAGTAGATAACTTGTATGTAAATTCTTTCGTTTGCATAATTTTTTATTTTCTTTTATTGGATTATAAAATGGTATAATTTTTATCCATAATCCCATTAAACAATGTACATTTGCTTAAATTTAAAATTAAGATATAGTTGTAGATTTTATTTTATTTGATAAATATTGTATACCAGCTGGGGATGGTAAAAAGCTAAATGTTTGGGATTTAGAAAAACAATAAATTATATATTTTACTAAATAAATGTAAATTTTCGGTAGTTATAATTGTATAGAAATAATAGAAAGGAACAAAAACGAAACTTTTATTGCCTGTGGGAATAAAATATAATAATTATAAATATGGGTTTTTTAAGAAAAAAATGAATCAAAATTAAAGTTACTTCATAAAATCTAAACTACTATTTTATGGATTTTAACTACAGATGTATTAAAATATGAATTTGAAAATGAAAAAAAGTTCAAAAGTTTAATTCTTGCTTGCGGAGGTAGTTTTTCTAATTACTAAAATATTTATGGGATTAATATTATCAATTGGAAAACTAAATAATTATTAAGAGTTATTAATGATTGTGCACATTCAAAATGGATAAATTCTATTAAATTTTTTAATGATTAAACTGGCGATTTTATTACAGGCAGTGCAGATAAAAATACTACTATTTATAATGCTTTTACTGGAAAAATTGTTAAAAGATTTCATAACTCAGATATTGTTGTTATGCATGGTTTAAGGTCATTCGAATTTGATAAAAATTAAAAAGAAAATTTGGAAATTTAGACTAATTTGGCTTTTATGTTAGGCACTTAAACATAAGATTAATAAAATGTTATTAGATTTTATTTGTGATTATATAAGCTTTTTAATTTAAATTAATTTTTTTTTTATGTTCATGTAAACATTATAGGTATTTTTTTATTTAAATTAATTGTTATATTTGTTGTTTTTATACTATTTTATATATTTTAATCTAAACTTTTATTATAAATATTTGATTTTCTTTATTATATATCATCTAATGATTAAATTAGATTTCTAGATTTTTTTTTTTATGATTACTTTTGTATATTTTTATAAATTTATATATTTAAAAATTTATGAATTTTTTTTTTTTTTTTTACATAACTCATATTTTTTATATCATACAAATAAATTTTTTTACTTTTCTTAATATTATATATAGCAATTTTTTTATATAAAATTTCTTAAAAATGACAT